TTTTTTTTTATATATTATTCTTGTTCTAGGTGTTGAATATTTTCGTCCCTGCCATCATTGATGAGTACAACTGCACAAAAACTGAAGCCGATGCTGTTGTGATAGTGGTTCCTACGGCTACAAGCCTGATGGGTGGTCAGTACTGCTGAACTTTCTTACAAATTCGATCCGGATATTTAAGAGTCAGACGAGTAGATTCTGGAATGAATGTTGAAATAGGAACTTAGGCTACTCACTTAATCCATGTATGCATAGACTGAACAACTTTTCACACGGCTCATCCTTAATAGGATTGGGAAAACACTAGATGAATTCCTTCATACGAGCAAGCAGGGTTCCCGAGAGGGTTTAGCACAGTCGATCACTTCCACACTGCTGCAAGATCCATTGTAGTATCGCGGGAATACAGGATGCCGTTATGTGTGACATTAATTTTGAAGAGAGCCTTTGATGCTATCGAGACTGAAACAGTAACTGAAACCCTAGACAGCCAGGGTGCCCTACCCTCTCTCTCTATCTCTTAAACAAAAAATGTCCAGCATCCCGCTCACCTTTTCGACACTGCTGTCCTTCCTACTTTGACGTACGCTCGGAAACTTGGACTCTACGAAAGCAGGATGAATATGCTGTCAGCGTTACTCAGCGTGCTTTGGAAAGGACGATGTTTGGAATTTCCCTATAAACGCAAGTGCAAAAGGGAATTCGCAGTTCCGAGCCCAGACAACGAACGAAGATCAGCGACACTGTTGTTTACTCCAAAAAGACGAAAATCTGGTGGGTTAGGCACGCCATGCGATTTAGTGACGACCGTTGGAACCGGGCGGTTACTGAATGGATACTTTGGGAAGTCAAACCATCATCAAGGCGACCGTCAGCGCGATGGTCAGGCTTCTTCACGGAAGCTTTGAACGAAGGGAATGCTCTATCCCGTGTCCCTCAAGCGAGGTCGATCCACTGGACTACTCTGGCTCGCGACAAGTACGAATGAAGACGTCATTGGCGCGCGCTCGTGGAAATAAATGATCAACGGGACGACAGGTGATTCAAGTAGTCTGATGATGGCGAAGGCACTAACAGTACTAAAAAAACCTAAAAAAAAAACCTACGGATAATCGGAACAATAGTATCGATAAACTAAAGACAGACTCCATGAGAAAAACGGTTATTTAGATTTCCTAAAGAGGCAAATCCCCGACCCAGGTATGCCCAATTACAATCAGCAGATCGTCCGAGGTGTATTTTCCGATAATTTTTTTTCTGTGGTACACTTTCAGCGTGTGAGTGTTAGAAAAGATTAATAACGAGTGGCAGAGAATAATAGCATGAAGGTTGCAGGAGTACAAGGTTAATATTATTGCATACATTCCAGACCTACAGTGCAAAACAGTTTTCGGTAATGAGGATACTTTGGGCAACCCTTTACGCAGTACCACTTATGAGACCTCCTCCTACCCCTTACCCGCCACCATAAACTCATACAACCCCTGAATTTGCTTTTTGATAATCCTCAAAGGCCGTCAATTCCGGCGATTTCCTCTCTTTCCTCGCCGCCGTTGCACTAGCTTGCACCACTTCTTGCGTTATTCAACTGGTAAAGGGCACCTGGAAGTTGTCGTGAACTGTGCGAAAGAAAGTACAAAGTTACTGATTTATGAGGTAGATGTTCAGCTCCGAACGTGACTATACTAGACAGTATTCGAAAGTCTGAATTGTAAGAGTAGTGCTGAATATCGGGCTTTTCAGGTCCACTAGCAGCAATGCTCTACAACTTTGTTGGTGCTCGTGTTAGCATATTCTGCGGTGCTCTGATGTGCTTCGTAGGTTTCAGTCTCGGTTCCGTGGCTCCATCGATGGCCGTTCTTTCAGTTTTCGCTGTTCTTATCGGTTCGTCACAATCAGCACCAGCCCTCATCTTTTCACAGCCGCCACTTTCATATCCCTTGTAAAGTCAGCTGTGTTGGCTCGGGAGAGGGCAACTCCAGGGGGAAGTCAGAGTGTTACTCCATATTTCAGCACCTTATATTGGTTGCGGGAAGAACCGAAGTTAGTCGCTAATTGCTTAGGTATTGACCAGCAATGTCGAACAGTTTACACGGGTGGGAACCTCTACTCTAAATCTTTTTATTGCTCCAAACCAATTAGAGAGACCTCTTTCGTTCGAAATATCGTTTACCGAAAGAGATGAACCTAGTTATGAGATTGACCAATGTTAAAAGAATTATTGCTTGGATACTTGAAGTGGAGGGTGCGTTGGACTGCTGACCACCACCGGTGCACACTGAAAATTAATCTTTTTCCTTTTCTCTTTATTTTCTTTTATTATCCATGTACAGGGTTTGGATGCTCCTTGATGCGGAACGCCATAATTTCGGTACAGTGTGAATATTTCACTACGAAACGAAATACCATGATGTCCTTCATATCGATTGGACCTGGAATTGGCATCTTTTTACTCCCACGCGTTCTAGTTCCTTTGATCAACACTGTGAGAATTTTCACAAGTGGTGGTAAGTATTGCCAATGATGTCACTGTCACGATTTGCTTTTCAGTACTCGTGGAGCGTCGGTTTTCAGTTTCTGGCGTCCCTCTATGTGATCTGTGGAGCAATGTCATTATTCATTACTCGGCATTCTAGTACAGAACATCCTTCACTCGCCCACTTCACTGGTCTCAAAGTGAGTCTTTCTCTCGGAACTCATCAAAATTAAGTGGATAATGATCAGGTCAAACTTCCTTTAACATCAGTTTGAAATTAATACTGGCTTGACTTGTCTGAAGAATATTGTAGTATACTAATTCATATACTACAATATTCTTTGTCATGATACAGGAGAGTTCACGAAGTAACTACTCAGTATCTTCTTCTCCCTTTGCAAGCTGTCACCAGTAGCTGTGGGAACTGCAGTACGATTGAGGTCACTTCGCATATGCGCATGGCGATCTTAAAGAGTGCAAGTTCATGATTGTTATTCTGCCCGCACCCTGATATGCAAGCAGTCAAAGGGTACTGACTGAAGAAAATAACAGCAGAAAGAAAGTAAACCTAGTGTAGAAATTTAGGTTTTTCAACAGTGGAATTCCGTGCAACTGGCTAGAAGTTTATAATTTGTGCAAAATAAAAGAATCTCACCAAAATTGACACAGTTACACTTAGGCATGAGAAAGAAAGCCTTCCATCCTTTGATGTGAGGGTTTTGCATAGATATTTGGTACGGCCACTGGAAAGAAAAATCATGGAGGCACGAGAAATATACCGCATCCAGCCGGAAATCAATGCGAAAGAGGAGATGCGTGACCTACCGAGACTGATTGAGTGATAACACTTAGTCGCCTCAGGACAAGAGCAGCGTCCATTTTTCCTTCGAGTTCCCCGCTGACAGGTCCACTTCCCCTTTTCCTCCAACATTTCCGGTTGACTTGGTACGATTCGATGTGTTTTGTACTGTAACTGAAAGTGACTGATTGTATGCAGCAATGTGAATGTATTGTAAATAATTAAGGCCTGACGAAGGCATTGTATGCCGAAAGCTCACCAGTTAAAGTGAAGAGCAAAGAACTTCGAAAAGTACACAAACTACAACAAGTTTAAATGAAGCTCAGAGATAGCAGTATTTTGAAATATAGAATAATACTAATGATTTCAACTGCAATGCCATCAGATTTCCACAGGGTGATACTGATATTTCAAATACCAATAAATCCTCTGTTATAAAACAGAAACATTGAGAATTATCAACGAGTGTTCTAAGATCAAAACGTTCACCACAAAAACAACGGAAATTAAGGACATTCTCACGAAAGCTGGGAATGTAGAGGAGTATATAATTACTAAATAATATAGTTGGATGTATACATAGTATTAAACTTGTTCGTCGCAAAGTATTCTAGAAAGGATAGTTACTATAACATTGGCAAATTTGTTGAAGACATAATTAAAATGTTCGTAATAAGCGTTGTCAATAATATAGCTCACTATTGTTTTCGCAATTTGATGAATGAAAACGTATAGTTTGGCGATTTTTTCGATTCAGGTCTGGTTTCACCTAGAATTTTGGCTGCATGCTATCTCATCGTTTTGTGCGTCTTCCGTTTGCATCATTTATCTGTCCAACATCCTAGGTCATATGAGAGGGGAAAATATCGAGCAGTAAGTTTTCTTCTTGAATCTTTTGCTTTCCCTTGATTTATCTAAATCGCAATCATTCCGATTGATTTCCTTTGACCGCAGCTTGTGAATAAGTGCCAAAATGTAAATACTAGAAGAATCGGAATGATTGCTTCCCGATTTCAATCTGAGCGAAACTATTACCGTGTTTTTGAGTGCCCCATACTATCTTTACTACATCATATTTTCTCTTCTCATTATCTAGCATTCTAATAGGGATAGTGAATAGTGTGGAGATTTAGTCTGCTCATGGAGGGTACCATTGTGTTAAATATCGATAAATGGTCATGTTTCAATGTAATAAATATCTACTAGGGACTTATTACGTCTATGACGTCAGTTCAGGAAAGTAGATACATATGTATATTTCATTCATAAATGATCGATGCAAGTATGTTGGAAAGTACAGATCTTTTTTCAGGCCAGAAGTGGTCTACAGTTACTTTGGTATAGCATCGATCATTGGAAGAGTCTTGCTCACACTGCTTTTGGGTCTTACCAAGATCCATATAGCGGTGGTGATGATTTGCAATTACCTAATTGCTATACCGAGTATATTCTCTGCGGCGTTCTGCTATACTCTGTGGGAATTTCGATTTCAAAATTTCTTCTCAGGATTTGGAATGGGTTCGCTTTTTTGACTTCAAGCTATGCTCCCTTCTTCACTAATTATAGTTTCAACTCCTCTGTAGGTAACATAATTAACTTGTTGATGGTGTTGTGAAAGTTCCCTCATGAAATTGTCCTTACTTAATCCAGCCTTGCTCAACGAAATTAAGTGGGTATCAGAAATGCCGAGACTGCTAGTGGAAACGGAGCTACCTTCATAAAGGAATGCAAATTATCGCCCTCAAAAAGGAAACAGATAGCCGAAGTCTCCATTCACCAATGAAATAGTGGGTAAAGTGAATAGAGAAATTTATCGCGACGTAGTAGAGTTTATAGCTGTACTACATGTATTGGGGCGGAAGTGGTGTAGTGGCTAGAGACGCACTATCACACATGCATGATGCGAACATCGTGTCCTTACTCGATATTCGCCTTGGTCACCAAGTGTCCCACCCCTCCGGGATCGGTTGATTGATACCAGACTCGTCTGGGTGGATAGAAGCATTGACTGTATGTCGGCTGGCCACAGGAAGTCACTGCATAAGGCACATATGCATTCAAACCACAGCTAGGATTCTAAGTAGAAGTCGATTGCCGGGCGCATCCCACTGACGGTACTAATAAACGCCGAAGGCTTTGCCCTGAACCATGTGTATTGAAACTTCACTACGTCGCGATAAATTTCTCTATTCACTTTACCCACTATTTCATTGGTGAATGTAGACTTCGGCTATTTGTTTCCTTTTTGAGGGCAATAATTTGCTTCCTTTTATGAAGGTAGCTCCGTTTTCACTAGCAGTGTCGGCATTGAATCGTAAGTCATTTTCACAAGGCAAGTTTCCAATCAATCGACCAAGTTTTCCCTTCTTCCGTAATTTTTCATTTGACCTTAGTTGAAATTAGTTGTACCTGAAAGGCCAGAAACCTTGTCGGTCGCGTTTGCTTCAATCTACGGTTGTGTATGGTTACAATCGCCCGTCTGAAGATGCACGCGGCGAATTGTGTGGCGAAATTCGTGGCGATCAGGACGACGTGGCGTTTATCGCGGTGGCGTGGGTTTCACATGAAGCAGATTAATACGAACGTGAGAATGCGATATTTCTAGAAAGCTCTTCTACCTTCCTTTCCCTCTCTCCTTTACTTTTCTTTTTCACTCCTGTAATTTACTAGGCATTTCAAATTTTTAATTTGTTATCACTCAAAGTTGAAGTTTCTGCCTCACAATCAGTTGGTCGTACTCATCTGCTCTACTTCGAACCCGTGCCTTAATGATAAACGCCAGAGTCATCAAAATCGTCCTGAGTTTTGCAGCGCAATTTGTTGCGTGCATCTCCAAACGGGCGATTGCACCCATATCCACTCACCACTCGTTTCACGGGGCGGTACTTCTTATCGAATTCCCACGGCAAGCGGCAGTAGTTCCGCGTCGGCTACCGTGTCCTTCTACTGAAAATTCGAAGGTTTCCCTCCATAACGCGCAACTGCGCGCTATTGCGTGAGGCGAGCGCGACGCGATTTTTTCGGAGAAGTGCCCCCAAATCCTCGTGTCACATACACAACGTCTCCAACCTACCCGTTTCATATACGGATATGCATCGAAAAAGGCGATGGTCAAGAACACAGGGATGCTGGGTGGGACAAATGGTGCATTTGAGGACCGCCCATAAGTAGGTACATACATATGCGCGCCAACCTTTGTCTCACATATAGGTTATCCCAGAAAGTCATTGATCATGCTAAGCGCACCCTTGCCAGCTTCTTCGATTCCCATTTAAGATTGGCCTCTGGAATTTACATTATCTTTGCTAGCATGGTAACTCTTACCTCTTTATTTGTTCTCTTTTTAACTGCAATCATTGAATTTAAGGGCTTTTCCAAGCGACACTTGCACAGTTTCTATTGCTGATGGTGGGACCGTCCGAGCTCCCCGGTGCCCTGGGATACACAAACTTGATCAACGGCGCTGCTGCTTTTGCAGCGGTACAGATCTCAGGTAATTGACTACTCGATTTACAACCGCTTCATTGTTAAGATATATGTAGTTCTTAAAAAAGCTCCAGAGATATAGACTGAGGCATGAAATTTTTGTACGAGATCTATAGGATGTCAGGATAAGCTTTTTGTGGTTACTTGGCCACAGAGTTCACTCGGTAGAATTATTAGATAAATTGTGACACCTTTGCTAGTATTTGTGTAAAGTTCACAGGATATTGAAGGGGAAGCGCGAGTTTCTCAATTGTACCTTCAAGTTCATTGTTCTTTGCCCTTGTGAAGCGGACTTGTTTGTAATTTTGTACAGGAGCGATGAAGGGTGCTACCCATATCTGAGCATAATATGCTAGCTGCATCGCTGCAGTCACCACTGCTCCTTTCTCTAATAAAAGTTGATGCCCGTTGCTACTCATGCATTTCAGGCTCCGTTTCACAACGTTACCAAAGTACTCGAGCAGCATTTCACATCTCATGCGTTTTCGGAGTCTTCGCTATCATATTTGCCATAGTGAATTCTGTTGCCATTCTACTCCGGCAACGAAAACAGGCAGCGTTGGTCATCCAGAAGAAAGCAGCGGAAATTCCTGAGCTTAGAGTTATGCTTCAGCATAATCCGGATCACTGATGATATACTTGTATAATAAAACATATATGTTTCTGTGATTTGTTACTCTGTACATGAGTTGTTTAACACGTTTCTATGAATATAATGTTTGTTCGTGCAAAGGTAAGGGAGTCAAATAGTACAGAAAGTAAAACAATGAAGTACACGTTAACACTTGTTGGTCCCAATGAAGCCGGCATACATCCCCTCATCGGGGCCTCGACTTTTTTTCGTTTTTTTTTTTTGCTTTTTGTTTTTTCTTTTGCTTTCCGTTTTTTGCTATTTCTTGCTGAAACATCTGCACTAACAAGTCGTCATCAGCTGTTGAGCGTAAGTGAATTTTAAACTCTCTGCTTTGTGGTGTAGCCCTTCTAAGGCTTGTTTTTGTGGCGTCTTATCGGAGGTCTGGCCAGGGCCTCTTTATCAGCTCGTCCACCACCAGTGACTCTATAGTTTGATGTCATACAAGTTGACCCTCTCCAGTGTTCTCTCGACAATCGAAACTTGGATCTTTGAGTATTTCTCTTTTTTCCAGATTATAAAATTGTTTGATGAAGCATCTACGTACTTGTCAGTCCCTTCTATTCACGCATTACTAAGATTACTCATTTTGCATCGGGGCCATTGGAGAGACATTGGACCGTCACTGTTTGACTGTTTGACATGTAACTTACATTACACAAAGCTATGCTGATTGTTACCAATGCTACTCACGGGCAGATTTTACAGAGTTTTGTAGGATTATACATTCACAAAGCCTCTCATAAAGGAGCCCTACCTCTGTCCCAATATGCCAAATTACTGCTGTAGTTATGTGAAAAAAAAGAAAATCATGGGAATCTACGTATATTACTCTTATTCTAGTCTAATCTGTCTTATACCCGAGGGTATGCCAATCTTCAGAAATCATTGTTGAATCTATTAAGCGATTAGATCAATTATCAGAGCTTAAGCTGTAAGTTGTCTACTTCAAGTAGTACATATTCGTTTTAGAACTAGGACTGTAGGCTGAAAGCAAATGATGGCAGGACTCACCTCAAACCGAACCTACAAATTTCCGGGCTGGCGTGTGAGCCATTTGAGTTAGGATTTCGGAATAGTTGAACTCGAATTCTGCCTCGTTATATGTTGCAACAGTCGAGCTCTCGTTATGAAACAGTTCACAGCTTTGAGTTATGCATGTATACGTAGTACAGTTTAATTTCGCCGATTCATGAGCATCAGCCAGAGGTTAGCCACTGAGAGGGACTTAACTTGAAATATGAGTTAAGATTTTTGAGAGGATGGTTTTCCTAGTAAACATTCTATCTTGTCATATCAGCATCAATGCGATCACATCTGTAGTGCACACGCATTCGAACCGCTCCGAACCAAGAACAACGAGCCAGAGTGCCAGAACAGCACAATTTATAGTATTGAAGATCACAACGTCTGTGCAGGACCATTGTAAATGTAGAAAATGCATGAAAACATGCGACATCTCAGCATATGACGATGTAACAATTTAACCCTGTCAAAGGGGCACTTTACCGTGTTTTCAGTGGGCGAGTAGATAGACAATTGAATCAATTCAATAGATAGATTAGGCACTCACTTTTTCTTGATGGTTTTGATTTATATGAAAGATTTGGAAAACTTATTGTACGTCATTATTTCAAAAAACTTTGAAGTTCACAATTCACCGTGACTAGGCAAGGACTGCCTATTCTTGACTGATTGGTGTGTGCTCATTTGCGATGACCACCTCTGATTTGCGCTTGCGTTTATCCAATTGAAATAGTTAAATGTACCAATATAGTCCGTGTTCTAGCTTCCACTCTGTTTCCCGCTTTAGTATATAAATCCCATTACAATTAGTTTTGTTTGTTTACCTGCTCTCTATTGCCTCGGTGACGGCTATACCTGCAAGCAATGCTTTCTTCACATTCTGTTTGTCCAGTGCACTTTCAAGCCCTCTAGCACTTTTCTTGTCGATTTGGTGATTTCGAGATAAGTCAGCTCTCAAGTGGTTCCTTCCTGCTTCCTCTTCATTTACATTAACTTTAAGCTCTCAAAACTTGCTTTGATTACTTGGCGTTCCTAAGGATCGCGATTATTGTGCAAAAGGGATATGTATAAAATAATATATAAAGTAAGTATACGGTGGATGAAAAGTTGACCATGAAGCAACCCTTTGTGAGATTGTCCTAAGCACAAAAGAACCACCTATATAGAAAGCGGTGTGGGGCTTCTCCCACACACTCATTGTGGCTAGCTTCTCCGAGCCAGTGAGAGACTGTGACTCGCCACTTTCATGGTCGTTTACCGTTCATGCAATGTTCTATAGTACGTTTCGTGTTCTACCTCTTGAAAAAAATCAGTCAACATGTTCCCAGTATAGACGTCACGATTATGAATGAGTCGTTTGTTACGTCCCATAGTTACCACCAACTGTTTTTTCAGCAGCAAAGGCACAAATATGTTCGGTTTTCTGCTTATTTCGAATAGAAACCAAGTTCTTTATTATGGTGGTGACAGCATATTCGACTCGTACCTATATGGAAGACTCTGTGCTGAAGGACTCGTCTCACCAGATGCACCATCCACATCCAGTGGCGTCTACAGCGACACGTCTTCCACTGAATCCTTGCGTGTTCCTGACGAAACGGCAGCTTCATCTGAACCAAGAACCGCCGAAAAATCTGCCAATCCAGAAATTTCCCATCTATTTCTGCCACTAATCTTGATGTACCGTTCATTCAACAGCCGTTGCTACGACAAGATTTATTCAACCACGTCCGACCAAGTCACAATACTGTTGAAACGTCTCAAGTATGATTTTTTATTGATATCCATAGGGAGCAGGTATGACCTTTGAACTTATTAAGATTTGTATTAATTAATTTTTTTGAATTATGTTTTCGATGAATTTCTCATGACAGTAAATATTTTCCAACAACAATTTCAGCCAACAAGAGCAGCGTCGCTTTATGGATTACATGGAATTAGGTCTAGATATTAATATTGGTCCTCTTCTGCCGCTCATTGAATCAGATTTCGAGACGGTACATTTGGCTACAGATCTCCTCAAGTCTTTCAGTGATAAGCCATGCACATTTGAGAGCAAAAAAATTAGAAGTGAGACTTTTCCGGTACCTTTCACAGGACTCTGCATTACAGAGCGACTTTGCTGCTATAAAACTGAACAATTTAGTACCGCTTGGTTGGAAAGTCTTTTCAACATCTTTCAGACTTTCTAGACATTCGAAGAGCACTATTCTTCCAGTCTGAAACATCCATGGCTATCCCACTTCTCAGCACCATGGCGATGCATCTACAGGACGCCCTTGGTCCTCTCAGGTTGCTTCATGCTTCCTTGGAGTTCGTGGAATTCAAAACGTACTTCCCTATCATTGAGATTTTTTCTTGAGAATTCTACTCGCGTGTAAAGGCGATATACTCGCTTCGGTCGATTCCAATGACGAGGAAAAAGTGACTCTGAAACACTTGACAAGCTACGATCTGAACTTCTTATTGCAACAGATCTCCGCACTTGAATCGATCGATAATGGCAAAATCTTCCAGGTTTAATTACTTTAATATACCATTTATACCGTTAAAGGAATACTTCAAGAAGGCTGAGAGTTTGGTAAGAGCCATTAAGCCGCCACACTTCCTTTCCCTTCCTGGACCACACCACGTGATTC